TTTGGGTCTTTTTCTTATATAGGCTCCTATTATCCCCCATCCCCTGTCCCGATTTTTCACACTTACTGTCTGGTCACCCTCGGGTGGTTTCTCCCAGCGCTGGTGCCACGACTACACAGCACATGCTTTAACGTTGCTAGTGAAGACATACCCTTAATAGGCAAAAACCCAATGGAGATGAGGAACTGTAGTGTTACTGTGAGGTAGACTAGGTGAGGTCAACCCAGGTAAGGGGTGTAGTGCTGACCTCGCTTAGCTATCTTGTGGTAAACAAGACAGGTGCCGCTCTCCACTAGCATTTTACAGCAAGATAACTGTTTATCTCACTCCAAAAAACCTCAGCTTTTTGGCAGTGAAAACATAACCTTAGTCGACCAAAGATGAGTGCAGGTGCAAAGGAATCTGCAATGTGGCAAAAGCTCATGACAGCTCTGTGTGCACTTATGTATTTACGCACTAGCCCACAAGGCATGGCCCTGCCCTGGGTCTGACTGTGGAGACCGTAAAGTATTCAGCAAAAACGGCTAATTCCAAACACTTTACCTTTTCAATTACATGTCACTGACTTTAATGGGATGGCAAGGTACCATATATACTCTTGCAGAAGCCATAAGCTAACCCCTCCACTTTGTAGGAGTAGGGCTCAGTTCCTCAAATTAGAGTCTCATGTTCTTTGTAAGGGGCTTTGCTGTCTTCTAGACGGGGGAGGAGCTGCCCACCAGCTCCTGCTTCTCCCCTCCCTACACCCACAATCCAGCTGATTGGCCGGAGCCTTTCTCCAAAAACCTCCACTAAAGCAGAGCCCGGTGGAGTCTGCCAACTTGTGTGGACCCTGTTGTAATAATTACAATCCAGCAGAGGCTCTTCACAGCTTTAATGCTAATCAAGCAGAGGGTACACTGTGCGTAGCATTTTGGATCCCAACCAAAGAGCAAAGGGACACAAACTTCAAGGCTTCCCGCCTCCTCCCTGTGTCTTCTCACTGGGCAACAAACACCATGCACATAGCGCACCACATAGCCAGGATCCTGAGCAGCTATGCTCGCTCTCACCCTCCCGCACCGGCAGCACTGACAGAGCTCCACAGCAGAGTTTGTTTGATCTTCAGTCACAGGCAATGACCTGGCACGGCATTGCTTTGAACCAGTAATGAGACCTTCAAGGAACTCCCAGACTGGAAAGTGTAATGTCCCAGAAAGATCCGACCACCGCCACCTGCCCACTCTGTGTTCCTGACCAAGACTTGGGAACAACCAAGAGAGAGACTGATTCTCCTTCCCCCTCAAGAAGAATCCATCCCAGTCTTTCCACAAGATCCAGTGCACACAGGGACACTTTGGGAGTGTTCGTTACTGCCACCTACACATCGAGCTGGAGAGTGGGTGTGTTTCAATTAAAATGATAGGCTTAAGAGGAAAGGCATATTGAGGGTCACATGCTGCCTAGGAGATGATGACAGCTTGATGTCTGCTCTCCTCAAGTGAAATTTGATCTTATTATTCATCAATGTTTTCATATCTCATTAAATACAATGAGACAAACTCACCATCCCAGAGCGCCCTCTCCCAGTGAGAGCCAGCATGGCAACACTTTCACCTCCCCTGGACTCCTATGGCCTGGTGTGGTGATATGGCCCTCAGGCCAGGTCACGCTACTGTCCACCCCTTCCGGAGAATCAATGTCCTGCACGGCACTAGTCACCAACACAGGTTCCATCCCCTCCAGGGCTCTTTCAGAACAGGGGATTCCCAGACCTCTCCCTGGTGCTCGCCCACAGAAAAGCCCCAAACAGAACCACACACGACATAAGCCACTCTGCCCATCCTATGCTTGAGCTTTCAGTCTCCCTGGGTTCTCCCCAGCTCCCTGCTCCTCTTCCAGAGCACCAACCCACAGGGCTGCCTGCCTGGGGTCTTGCTCCTTTATCAAGGCCCGCCACAGGGGCTCAGGCCACTCCTGTTGCTTCTCAGTATCTCTGCCATCCCTGACCCTTTGCCAGAGCTCCCTTCTAGGAGAGGATCCCAAGGCCTTCTCACCCTCGCTGCTCTGAGTGCCTCCCTTTATTGGACAACCCAGCTCCTCCCCAGCTGAGTCTGCTAACGAACTGTACCTAATGCACCCTCCAGGTGCCACCAGTGAGCTAGCTGAATCTTTGGGCTCCCAGTAACCTTTTTGCTGCCCACGTGGGGTGTATACACCCCATCAAGCACAAAAATTCAAAACGTAAAAAAAAAAAACCACACCAAAAAACATTGCCCAGATACTTCCTGGATTGCCACAGATGGATTCAAATGGATAAATATATAAGAGGCCGAAGACTCACTTGCTTAAGCAATCTCCTCCTCCTGGATGCAGAGCTTAGCACAGGAAATAGCAGCTGAGAGAAAAAAAACAGGCATTTTAATAGAGACACATTCCCTCAGAGATAAGGGCTCTCGTGTCAAATCCCGAATGTCTTACTTAGAAAATAAGTTACAAAAAGCAGCCGGTGAAACAAGTGGGATAAAGGGGGATATGTCTTCCCTGAGCTGAGGGGATAAGCAGCTCTGAGGAGAAATTGGATGACCTGGAAAACAGGCGAGGGGAAAGAATCTCCATCTGGGCATTTCAGGTTTAGAAGGGAAAGATGCCATTAGATATCTTCAGAAAAGCTTCCAGGCCTCCTCTGGTTAGACACACAGCTCTCTCTGTTTGAAAAAGAGAAGGCGCACAGTGAAAAACAGGTGGGAAAACATGAAGCCTAGGGAAGGGAAAGCCATTTTTAAGCTCCTAATGCTGGATGGGACTAGGAAATGGAGAGAGCTGAGCAAAAGTTAAGGGACAACAAGCAGCAGATTTATATCTTTGTCGAGCTTTTCAGCAGAGCTCAGCAAGAAAAGAGCAGCATTTAATGAGCGGGTGCAGATTCCCAGGTGAACTGATGGTGAGGTACGGTCTCACATACGCTGCTATCTCCACCACGCATTTGGCTGCTTTGACCAAATTCTTTTAAGACTTCATCTAAGGGTATGGCTACATTACATGGCTTTTAGCAATGGTTGTGCTGCTACAGCCGTGCCGCTAAAAGACACGCAGCGTAACTGCTGTTTGTCAGCAGGAGAGCGCTCCTGCGGACAAAGCGCTGCTCACACCGGCACTTTTTGTCAGTAAAAGTCATTCTTTTGTCATTCGGGGTGTGTGTGTGTGTGTGTTTTTAACACTCCTGAACAACAAAAGTTTTGCTGACAAAGTGCTAGTGTAGACAAAGCCTAAGGCAAGACAAGACCTCCAGACACACAGCTCTGAACTGACTGGAAAAAGGCCTATGTATCAATGGAGTCCATTCCTCTACAAGGGCGGGATATAAAGCACAACTCAAGTCTTAGGTCTTGTCTGTATTAGAAAGGGGTGACAGTACAGCTATACTGGTAGAGCCATCCAGGCAAAAACCCCTAGTGGAGATGCAGCTTATTTTAGCAACAGAGTTCTTTTGCCGGTATCGCTTATCCCAGTTCCCCGAACAAAATAAGGTACACCAGCAAAAGGACTGTTTTGCTGGTGTACCTGTGTCTAGACTAGGGCTGTTGTGGACAGGGCTGTGAGTTTTTTCACATTCCTACCTGACATAGCTATGCCAACAAAACTTTTAAGCGTAGACCAGGTCTTAGTGTCATTAATCCCAGACTCTTAGAGGTCTGGTATACAACAGAGAGGTAGAAAACCATAGGTTGCACCTGTTCCGTCTGCTGCCATACCTGCAGGGATCGACCTATTTTAGAATACAGACCTCTCTGGAGACATTATGAGCATGATATAAGAAGCCGCCTCTATTTTTATAGGCCCAATTTTTCACCCACTATTAATTACAGGCACAAATCATAGCACTTAGACATCTAAGGCCTAACCTACATTCAGTTTATTCACTGATTAATTAAATCAGTGCAGCCCCCTAGCAGAGATGCAGTTATGTTGACAGAGAAGTGTTTAATCAAAACAAGTTATATTGAAATAACCATGTTTCTATTGACATAACTGAATGCACACTAGGGGACTGCACCGATTTAACAAAATTGCTTTTTCTACAGACCAGGTCCAAATGCTATGAATTGGGTCCACAAAATTGGAAGTGCTGTCCACACAATAGGAGCTCTCTTCTTCCTTGTGTGCACTAGATCCACTTACCCGTGTATTTTGTACTCATCAACCATCTTTCCCTCCCATGTTTCTGACCCTCGTCTCAACACAACCTTGCCCCTAGTTTGGGCAGTTCGATTTCTCTGTTGGGTGGCCCATATGTGAAATGAGTCTGATACTTTCAGTCCAATTCCTAGGGACAGGTGTCCACATCACAAACCACAAACGGAAATCAGTTAGCACCCTGGCGGGCAGTCTCAGCAGGGAGCCTGGGGACTGAATGAGCCATGGACACTTTACAAGAGGTCTCCCACATCAGTCTCCATTACCTTTCATAAGCACTTCATTTGCACACACAGCCTGTGATCCAATGCTGCATGACTTCAGCATCACATCGGTTTTATTGGGAGAAATGCTAGTGTAAAGCCGGAGTCATGCACTGTTGAATCACGTGCACAATTATGATGACATCAAACACCACACAAGCAATAAGGCGGAAACTATCCATCTTTTATTAGCCTATACAACATGTTTGTATATATAATTATCATTAATAGAATAAGAGAATGGGGAATGCTATGCTGCAGTAGGTGAACAGAAACATTGTAAAATCTTCACTGAGCACCCAACCTGGAGTAGCCTTTGTTCTCGTTGAACTCAGACTCAGGTTAGCTGGGTATTCTAGTTTCTTATACTCCTGATTTTTAGTAACAAGGACAATAGAGGCAAATAAGCACCCCCCTCAGCCTTTACACTGAGGGCTAGACGGGGACTTGGGCCTGGTCTTCATTGGGAAATGAGGTTGGTATAACTACTTCGCTCAATCCACACCCCTGGATGATGCAGTTAAACCGACCTAACCCCGCGGTGTAGACAGTGCTAGGGCGATGGATGAATTCTCTCATCAGCCTAGCTACTGCCTCTCCAGGAGGTGGAGTACCGACGCTGTTGGAAGAAGCCCTCCTGTGGGCATAGGTAGTCTCTTTACTGAAGCACTGTCTACAGTGGCGCCTCTGCAGCGTTTTAAGTACAGACAAGCCCTTGGACTACAGACCCATGCAGGGGAGTAAAAGGACTAAGAACCCTCCCCACCCCCATAAATCCTTGTGTGGGCTACACGGGCTACAGGCACACAGCTCCCACTTTACTCCACATTAGACCCCTGCCCGGGACTAGTGTAGAGCCCTGAGGTGGGACCAGGATCCCAAGGGTCCCACAGGACCCGCTGCCATAACAGTGGGAGTGGGATGGTAGCAGAATTAAAAATAGTCCTGCATTGGGCTCTACTTCCCGTCTAGAGCAGGGGAGTGGGGAGTATGCAGGAAGGGGCAAGGAATGGGAGAAGTTTTGGGTCCCCCACCAAATGCACCAATCGGTGGAGCTGAGCCAGCAAGGGAGTGTTGAAGTTTGCTGCTGGTACAGCCCACTCCTCATCCCTCTCTCTCCTGAAGCAAGGAATTATGTCTCAGGCACGATGCCGCGTGGGGCTATTCCTGGTTGGGGTCGCTTATGCAGCACTCCTTGCTCAGGGCTGTGCTTAAAGGCACAATCTATCCCAGTGGAATTACCTATAAAGTCTTACTCCTCGTGACTAAGGCCCTATGGTAAGCAAGTGGTAGCAGGTGGGGCTAATAATAATGTACATCAGCGGAGGTGAGAGCTGGAGCATCATTTCCTGATGTCGGAGAGGTCCATGATGAGAGGGAAAGAAGGAAGGGCATCATATTGGCTTGCTTGGGAGGAACAGACACTCTCTATACACAATTATTTCTCCTTTCCCAGGAGGCCTCCAGAGAATTTGCCTTTGCTGCCTGGAGATGATCCTCGAGCCATGGGAGAAACACAGAAAGAAGACAAGCTGCACAGGCCGCATTCCAATAGGAGTGAGGGTCTGGGAGAAGACACTATCTGCAACCAGGCTCCGCCCGTAGACACTGAGAGCAGCATGCAGCCTGCCAGAGAGGATGGGGGCCAGGGAGAAGATGGCACCAGCTGCTATTGGATTCTTTCTGTAGCCTCCGAGCAACAGCCCAAGTACGTATCAATGCACTCACTCTGCCGCTAAGTTTTCAAGTGTGCCATCAGCATAACACCCCCTTTGTATATCAATAGCATCCTCTGAAGAGCTGCAAGCCCTTCACATCCATCGATTGCTTCACAAATCTGGTGTGGGAAGTAAGTATTATCCCTATTTTAGAGGGGCTACGTTGACACACTGAGAGGTGAAAGGACATACCCAAGGCCACTCAAAAGTCTGAGGCAGAGAAGGGAATAGTATCCAGATTTTCTTGAGTCCCAATAGCATGTCCTACCACAGAAACCTCTCTCACTTCATGGCTCTCATTTCCTACCACTTGCCCATTCTAGTTAACACATGGAATACAATTTTCAAAATTGGGGAGTTACTAGGACAGGCAATCCTGCATTCAGATACACAGCATGGGGGAAAGTCCCCTTTTTACACAGCTGGTGGCAAGCACCAATTAGAATCCTCTAATGTGGGATGTAGGTGCTCTCTCAAGCCCCTGGTTTGAAAACTGGGCCCAGGGGATTGCTATTAAAATAAATTCCTGGTCACTGTTAGCAAACTCCACCTTGTTACCTTGTAGCAAGGCATGTAAATGAGAACCAGTGTTGTGGATTTACATGCCTGAGTTTATTTCCACTATTAATTTGAAGGCGTGGTTTCTGGAGGGTTCTGAAAAGCAGGCAAGCTTACTGGCATTTCCCTCCAGATGCAGAATGTAGGCAAGTCATTTGCATAAGAGTACCCATAATGTGCAGCACCTTCCGTAAGAGAGAACTCTACCTGGACTGTGTGAAAGTAAGGAAACCTGGACATCACATGATTTCAGACCAGCACCTATACAAAGGCTCTTTATCACTTCCTGGGCCATACACTTAACACAGCTCCAGTCTAGCTGAGAGCAAGGGTGGAGTTTAAAGAGAACAATGATGTGGCCACTAATTAGCCAGCAGGAGTGTCATTGAACAATGGGATGGTTAACCCTAACAAGATATTACTGATATCTTTCCACCCTCAAATGGCTCAGAGAACATGTGACCCTGTCTAGCATCCATACCTGGATAATGCATGGTGCTAAAACTAAGGGTACGTCTACACTTACCGGAGGGTCCGACGGCAGGCAATCGATGTTCTGGGATCGATCCCGGAAGTGCTCGCCGTCGACGCCGGTACTCCAGCTCGGCGAGAGGAGTACGCGGCATCAACGGGGGAGCCTTCCTGCCGCGTCTGGACCCGCGGTAAGTTCGGACTAAGGTACTTCGAATTCAGCTACGTTATTAACGTTGCTGAATTTGCGTACCTTAGTCCGAAGTGGGGGGGTAGTGTGGACCAGGCCTAAGAGAATACTACTGCTAAAAAGATACATTGTATGTTACATTCCCAAAGCACTGTACACATATCAACCAGCTCCTCCTCTCAATTCATTTGCAAAGTAGTATCCCCAGAGATGTTGAGCAAATCACTTAAGACAACATAATGACTCAATGGCAGAGGCAGGGCTGGAACTCCAAAGTGCCTGGTTCTTGGTCGATGCTCGAGCCACTAAACCTTGCTACTTCTTGGATCTAGTAGTACAAGCTGGTCTTTCTAGTTTGTACATCTATAATGTTAACTCTTAAAGGAGGTCCCTTTGCATAGAAACTGCATCTGGGTATCTCCCACACAGGTGCAAACTGCCTCAAGCCACCACATAAGCCAAATGGAGCTCATCTCCATATCATTGCAGGTTTGTACAGAAATCCTTATGCAACAATGCCCCTGCCTCCCTTTCTTTTCTCGAGGAATAGCAAAGTAGGCAGGGATCTCATTCACTCATATGCCCCAATAGCTCCTGAAACCAGAACTGCTCACATGGTTTTCTCATGCCCACCTCTGAATTAGGCGAATGGACTGCTGGAAGCTTGATTCTTCAATCTGATTTTCTGTTTCAGAGTCTCCAGTAGGGCAGTTTTGTAACCTTGTGCTGGTTTAGGCTGGGTGGAGGTGGACAGCAATATGCACAAAGGGAAATCAGCTGATGACCATTAAATAATTGATTCGTAACTCAAAATGTCATCAATAATAGTGAATTTTGTAACCACTCAGGAAGGAAAAATCAAATGCACAAATAACTGCTTAGGTGGCAAATGCTGCCGAAAAGGATCTTGGGGTTAGAGTGGATCACAGATTGCATATGAGTCAGCAATGAGATGCAGTTGTGAAAAAGGCTAATATCATTCTGGGGTGTATTAACAGGAGTGTTATTAATACAGGAAGTAATTATCCCACTCTACTTGGCACTAGTGAGACCTCAGCTGGAGCACTGTGTCCAGTTCTGGGCGGCAAACTTTAGGAAAGATGTGGACAAGTTGGAGAGAGTCCAGAGAACAGTAACAAAAATATTAAGAGGTGTAGAAAACCTGGCCCACGAGGAAAGGTTAAAAATACTGGGTATGTTTAGTTCTGAGAAAAGAAGACTCGGAGGACCTGGTAACAGTTTTCAAATATTTTAAAGGCTGTTAGAAAGAAGACGGTGATCAATTGTTCTTCTTGTCTAGGAAGGTAGGAGAAGAAGTAATCAGCTTAATCTGCAGCAAGGGAGATTTAGGTTAGATATTAGGAAAAACTACCCTTAGAGTTAAAAAGTTAAGGACTGGAATAGGCTTCCAAGGGAGGTTGTGGAAACCCTGTCACTGGAGGTTTTAAAGAACAGTTTGGACACCTGTCAGGGATGGTCTACATTTATTTGGTCCTGCTTCAGCATAAGTGTAAGGACTAGATGACCTCTCGAGGTCCCTTCCAGGCCTACATTTCTAGGACTTGTCTACACTACAGGTTATGTCAGTACAATTTATGTCACTCAGAGGTGTGAATAAGCCACCCCACTGAGCAACGTAAGTTACACCAACCTAAGCACCGCTGTGGACAGCGCTATGTTGGCGGGAGACGCTCTCCCGTCGACATAGCTACCGCCTCTTGCAGAGGTGGTTTTATTATGCCGACACGAGAGCTCTCTCCCATCGGCATAGAGCATCTTCACCAGATGCAGTGCAGCTGTGGCAGTGTAGCACTTCTCATATAGACTAGCCCTAGATTCTATGATGGACGGGGGGAGTAAACGAGGGATTCTAGAAGATCTCCACAAAGAGAATATGTGTAATGGTGATTGTGCTCCTCCCTGTGCCATAAAAGACCAGCTCCCTGAATGTCCTTTGGGACACTGTTCACAAGGTGGTGGATCCCTGAAATCACCCACTTACTGGTGGGAGAGTAGCTCCTGACACTTGATTCATGGGATGGTCTTAGCATGAATTTCTGAGAGTGGAGCAATAGCAGCTGCGTACTAGGCCAAGGTGGCTCAGGGGCTCCATGGGGGAAAGGGACTGGATAACAAAGGAATGTCATGATCTTGTCAGCAATTGTGTTTGGATTGGGTTGGTCTGGGGGCACGGATGGGGATTCCACACTTGAATGCCAGGGCCACAGGGCTTTAGACTGTTTTGACCTGCTTGTTTGCAATCTCTAACATCAGGTCTAGAAAGTGACACACAAGGCCCAGGAGACAGCGCCCAATCAAAATCACTCCCCGTATCGTACACCTGTCATGGGATTATTGCTAGGCCCTCAGTTATCATCACTGACGCTGAAGGACACTGATGCCAATGGGGGGAAAAAATACCCTTCACTATCTCTTTTTGTGGCCTCCTAGCAAGGGGAGTCACATTCCTTTGCTATTTCAGTCTTTTCCATGGCAACAGATGGATGTCACAATCACAAAATCACCACTTTGCCGTATGGTGAGAGGGAGGGAGGGAGAGGGGAAGACAGATGGTGATTGAGGAAAAGCTCCGATTCTAAGGGGTCTAAGAAATCATAGGAATCCCTGATTGCTGGAGCCAAAAAGCTGACCCAGAGCTGTGGGAGGAAGGGAAGAAAGAGGCGGGCGGCTCTGCTGAGCCCAGAATAGCAGACCAGCTGTTAACTTATCACTTGTAATTATTACAACATATGGGAGTAAAGAATGGCTCTGAAGGGGAAAATAAATAGATAAATAAATAAGCCAACAAGCAATACAGGCTGCTGCAAAGCTGGCTCTGTGCGGACAAGAGAGACAACCGGTACCTGCAAGTACGGAGGGGACCTTAGCGAGGCACCTAGCCAGGAGCGATGGCAGGTGGTTAAACTCTGTGGATCAGACACAGAGCGAGGACACATGACACACACAGAGTGGTGGGTTACACCTGAACGTAGGGAGGAAACATTACAGAGGCACCAGATGCCTGGACACCTCTAGGGGAAAGGGACCTGTGCATCAGATACTGTCAATGAGGCGGTGACACTACAGATGCATGGGCTCTGCATGCCAATGGAAAAGGGGAAGAGTGTGGGAAGTTGGGTACCACAGAAGGACTTTTTCCTGTATTTTTTGAGGAAAGTGAGGAGCACCATGATAATAGAGTTTTATTTTATTGCCTGGTCAAGGTGATTCTAGGAAAATATTCCAACAGGCAGGGAGTGAAGAGGAAAATCCACCCCGCACTTCCCCACATATTACATTTTCCCCTTGCTGTGTATTACTATTTATTTTCTGGGGCTGCCTTCCTGACCTTCAACATCATATCCCCAGAGCTCCTGGGCCCTTTTATTTTCCAGCTGTTGCCTGTCCACTTAAAGCAGCACTAATGTGTCTCAAAAGGTTTGTCTCCTGGTAAACTGCAGCAATGAATAGTAAGGGGTAGTGATGGGCAATCTTCATGAAGGTTCTAGGCAGGGGTATCAGACAGACAAGCTGTGTTTATATAGCTTGCAGGACACTCAGATTCTGTATAATCTAAGTTTTCATTTTTTAAAACAAAAAAAGTTTCTAGCCTTCACAGCTGCAAAGGTAACTGTGCGAGTGTATCCTGAGTGCAGGTGCCCGTGATGTCTGCCTGAATGTGCAGACAGCCTGAAACAATGACTCAGCTGTGTGAATTCCCTAGTCACCTATTCATCTAATCAGAGTATCCGTTGTAAAACCCAAATGTTG